TATATGGCTGATGGCATAACTCTTATCAAGAATAGTTTTCACCACATAACGTACGCATGTATTAACGAAGGCATATAATATTGCATTTCCATGTATATCGTATTCCCTTGTGTGCATTAATATCATAGACTTACAATGTATGGTCCTATTTATTTATGGCAAATAGTTACTGTATAATATACTATCCTCCGTTCCCTTTTAATCGCAACATTGAATTTTTTGGATAATTCACATATTCTACTTTGACTATATTTTACTCATTAATGTATTATAAATTAATTTTTTTAAAAAATATTATTAAATTCTTCTCATTCTAAATTTTCAAAATATGAATTTTTTGAATTTTTTACTAATAAGGAATGAAAGATATTAATGGTCAAACTTGTGCGTTGGCAAACGCGAAATGTTGACCGTTGCAATTAAAAGGGAACGGAGGAAGTATATACTACGGCATGCATATCTATCTATAATTGATATGTACTACATACGTATATTCTTATTCTTATTATTATAAAATACAAAGCCTGATATTGTTTTAGGATTATGATGATTATAGACTATTATTAATATTATTATATAATATTTTCATAAATATATAAAATTTATAAATTATACAAAGTATACAAATATACGGAGTAATAATAATTAAAATAATTGTCCAAAATTTGTTATCACTAATGAAGAAACGACATTTTGGCGAACTTTTCCGGAATGGAGAGAGTAATATATTTATATTTTAGATGCTATTAAATTTCCTGGTACAAAGTTAACATTTATTACATTTTCTTTATCTATCAGTTATGTTATTATAATTACACAGAGAGTAATATATTTATATTTTAGATGCTATTAAATTTCCTGATACAAAGTTAACCATTTATTACATTTTCTTTATCTATCAATTATCAATTATGTTATTATAATTACACAGACCTACGTACGTGTTACATAATATTGAAAGTAGACAATTGCATTTAATTAGATGCTACACATTATTACATTTCCTTGTACAAAGTTCACGTTTTATTACCTTTCCTTTACCAACTATGGATTAGATGCTACACATTATTACATTTCCTTGTACAAAGTTCACGTTTTATTACCTTTCCTTTACCAACTATGGAGTATGTTATTATTACTCACACCTACGTTTAGACAGTTGCTTTTACTAATAATAAGTCATTAAATAGCTCTTTCATTCTTTGGGCGGGATTTAATTGCCGAAAAATATTAAAATACCAATTGTGCCCCTAAGTTTGGGCGGGATTTGGAACAAAAAAGGCTCCTCACCTTGTTCCTTTATATTATTATAGATTGGATGTAAAATACTACTCCCTCCCTCCCCTTAAGTTTGGGACGGAGGAGTGTTGTGTGGTTTTTAAGAAAAAGTGGAATTGTGTGGTTGGTATTAAATTGATAAAGTGTAAATAAAGTAAGAATGAATTCTAACCACTCAAATGTTACCAAATATGGTATGAGACAAACTTAGTGGGACGGACGAAAAAGGTAAAACGAGACAAACTTAAGGGGACGGAGGGAGTAAGTTTATCAAATCCAAAAAGAAATAAAAAAACAATCACAAAATCCCGACGTGGGTGGGAAGAAGAGTAATGTTGGCGGAACATGCATTGATTCCCACTGAAAGTGCAATAATGTTGAGTAGTAACACCAACATTAAGTGCAATATATTTAATTGGATGAAAGCAATGCAAAATGCACTCTTTTTAATAAGGCTATTTTTGTCCTTCAACATTTTAATAGGACGAGATTTTCATCATTTTTTTTGTTATTCAGTCATACGAATGTCTAAAAACAAGCATAGTCATATTTGGGGAATTGCTTAATATGTTTTAGTCATATCCTGGAAAATTTCTATTATTTGTAGGAGGGGTACAATATTAGTATTAGAAGTTGCTCAATGTGGGATCAAAATATAGATAAAGTTCAAAAATAGGATTAAATATGTTTTATTCCGGAAAAAATGACATGTATGGGTATATTACCAACAAAGTTTTTCCAAAAAAAAATGACAAATTATGTTTTTTGGACAAAAATATGACTAGTCACTGTGTATGAGTAACTAGACAAGAGTCATTGTAGTGTATTTCAGCGTGACAAGTTATTGATAGATGACGAGTCACTGGAAACTAGTCACTCAATATGTCACTTTTTTGGAAAATTTTAAAATAAGTCATGTTTTTGTCTTTTCAACTTAATTTAGTAAAATTAATGGAAAAATGTCTTTTATTCCTTAAATAGAACGTGTTTAATCCTATTTTAGGAATAACGAAATGATAATAATATTTATAAATTCTGCCGATCTTTTAGTCGGAAAGCCATTTCTCTATTAGTATCTCATCAAATCAAACTCTTATCGAGTTAATTAGGAATACTCAGTACTGTTGTGAAATGATGAAGATGAATACTAGATTTATAAGATAGATAAATTAATAACAATCTCTGATTTCTTCTTCTTAATACGAAATTTTCTGAATAAATTTACAAAGAATTGAACAAACCCTTTTTATCTATGAATGATTCTACACAATTTGCTGGCAATATTAGATCTACCCACCTGTCTATCTATGATTACAAGGATATGAATTAGTTGAGTAGGCTCATTACAAGGATATGAATAGTTTGGTGTCGTAATAATGACAAGGATGAACAATTCACACGTGTCATTCTCATGATTTTACAACACCCACCTTGAATATGTATATTATTATTGTGAAAAATCAGTGTAAAAACCAAAGTTAAGGGGTAAAGATTATGACATATAATGTTGTATTTGGATGTAGTGTCTCGTTAAAAACCTTATCAGGAAAAACTCAGTGGGATAAAAACCTGATGAAGGAAAAAAGAGCGCAGTGCATTCAAATACTCCCTCTGAACTTAGCATAAATTTTGAAGGTGGCGCATGCCGATTTTCAGTACATGTTCTATGAACTTCTTCGGAGGTAAAGATTTGGTGAAGAGATCAACTAGATTTTCACTGTATCTGACTTGTTGAATACTGATTATCCCCTAGATCGTGAGTAGAGAAGAATTTTGGTGTTATGTGTTTCATTCTGTCTCCTTTGATGTAACCTTCTTTAATCTGAGCTATGCACGCAATGTTGTCTTCGTCGATCACAATAGAATTAAAAGTAATAGGCTTCTTACCACATTCATTTTGAATCGCAGTCACACACATTCTATCCCGGTTTTATATAATGCAATTAATTCATAATGATTTGATGATATAGTTGTCAATGTCTGCTTGATAGATCTCAACGAGATTGTTGTGTTACCATAAGTAAATATGTATCCTGTTTGAGATTTCCCATTTTGAGGATCTGATAAGTATCCAGTGTTTGCATATCCGATTAAAGCGGCTTTTGTATCTTTGTGATAGAATAGGCCGAGATCGACTGTACCACATAGATAACGGAATATGTGCTTGATCCCGCTCCAATGATGCCTTGTTGGACATGAGCTGTACTATCTAATAAATTTACATAAAATGCAATATATGCTCTAGTATTATTAGCTAAATACATTAAAGCTCCAATAGCACTCATATATGGTACTTCGGGACGGAGTATTTCTCCGTTGTCTTCTCGGGGACGGAATGGATCATCGTGAATGTTGAGAGATTGAACCACCATTGGTGAAGTCAAAGGATGAGCTTTGTCCATATAGAACCTCTTGAAAACTTTCTCGGTGTAATTGGATTGATGGATGTAAGATTCATTCTTCCAATGCTCAATTTGAAGTCTGAGACAAAATTTGGTTCCCACGAGATCTTTAATTTAAAATTCTTTCATAAGATATTTTGCATTATTTTCACTTTCATCGATACTTCCAAAAATGTTTAAGTCATCAACTTACACTGCAATTATGGTGAGTTCCGAATTTGATCGCCGAATGAAAACACATGGACTAGTTGGATCATTTTTGTATCCTTCTTTGAGCATATATTCACTAAGACGATTATACCACATTCATCTAGATTGTTTTAGTCCATACAATGACTTTTGTAATTTAATGGAAAACATTTCTCGATGTTTCGAACTATAAGATTCAGGCATTTTAAATCCACCAGAAACTTTCATATAAATGTATGTATCGAGTGAACCGTATAAATATGCAGTCACTACATCCATTATGCGCATTTGCAGCCTTTCAAAAACAGACATGCCAATATGAAATCTTAATGTAGTTGCATCAACTACTGGAAAATAAGTCTTTTCATAATCAATCACCCGACATTTAAGAAAAACCTTGCGCAACAAGTCGGACTTTATATCTTACGATTTCATTCTTTTCATTGCGTTTGCGCACAAATACCCACTTAAAACCCACTAGTTTTACGCCTTTTGGCGTAGGGACTATCCGTCCAAAAACATCGCGTTTTTTAAGCGGTTTTAATTCTGTCTAAATTGCTTCATTTCATTTCGGCCGATCGTGTCGTTTCCGACATTCCTCAATTGATGTTGGCTCATTGTTATTGTTTTCATTCATAACATTCGTGGCAATGACATATACAAATATCTCATTAATATCGACATCTTTTCGATTCCATTGCATTCTAGTAAAAACGTAGTTTATTGAAATTTCATAATTATCAACGTTTCTATTATTATCTGGAATATCTTCCTCATTTAAAGAAGTTGAATCTTCATTTGAAACGTTTGTGTTGTCGATGTTGTTTTATGTGCCAGTATTTTGAAAATGTTCATTTTCTTGTTCATTATCTGGAATATCTTCCTCATTTAAGGAGATGGTGATTGCTGAAGATTTTGAGCAGATTCGTGTGGATAACGTGTTGTGAAATGAAGAAAATGAAGACTAGATTTATAAGATAGATATATTAATAATAAGTTCTGAATTTCTTCTTCTGTATATGAAATTTTCTGAATGAATTTTCAAAGAATTGAACAAACCCTATTTGCTGGCAATATTTGATCTACTCACCTCTCTATCTGTGATTACAACGACATGAATTAGATGAGTAGGTTTATTACAATGATCAATGGACCATGAATAGCTTGGTGTTTTAATGATAAAGATGTACCATTCACACTTGTCATTCTCACGATTTTACAACAGGTACAAAGTATTATTATACGGAGACACCCGGGTGTATGATAAAGGTACAAAGTATTAGACCGATATGCCCTCCCAATAATACCTTCGAGGTTTTCTCATAATATATGCATTAAAACCGGTAAAACAGATTCCTGCAGCAATCAGAACTCCAACCACACTCATGAGGTACGTTGCCAGTTCACACGACCTTGTCCAAAACCATGTTTTGCAAAGGAGAAACCCGTATAGTGCAAGATATACGAGGCTGCGGCGCCGGCCCATGCATATCCACATTAATTATACTTCGTATATGTTAGCCGGCAGCTAGGGAGACACATATATACACTAACCATGTTTTTAATTACATTGAAATTTTCTAATATGGGTTATCGATCGGTCGGTCGGGTTAATATCGATCATGTCTATTTAGTTTCTAGTCTCGTGGGCCTCGTGGCAGATGTCAGTTCTATTTGAGTAATTGTTAAAGTCTGGTCTGGTATGATCTCGTGATTTGGCATGAAGTGAGTCCAATAAAAAAACATCATTACCACGCACACAAGTGAAACCGAGCGGAACAATTAAATACGCTACGTACCTTGCAATAACCCAGCGCGTCCGCACACATTTACTAGCAACGGGAACAGATGCTCGAAGAAGAACGGCAATGATAGCAGACAACATGTGAGATGCTAACGCCGGAACTACTGCCCAGCCCGGTCTTTTACATTGAAGCGCAACGTCCTCTGGAACCTGTATCTGCACCAGTGGCATAGCCAGAAATGACATATTAGGGAGGCCGGAGCGGAAGGAATTTCTATTGGAGGTCAAAACTTAAAATATTACTCTCTCCGTCCCAATATAAAAGGCACACTTTCCTTTTCGGTCCGTCCCAATATAAAAGGCACATTTCCCTTTTTGGCAAACAAAACAGTGCAAAACAGTGCCAAGCAGTGCCAAACAGTGTCCAAACAGTACCAAACAGTGTCTAAACAGTGTCAAACAGTGTTCAAACAGTATTCACCCTTAAAAACTCCCCAAACGCAAATGTGCCTTTTATATTGGGACGAAGGGAGTACTATATTTATACAAATGTATATACATAATACATCACAGCCAGTCTCCCCTGTCCCCACCTCTGCCGTGCACACACATATTATGTGTCTGTTGATTTAAGAAGTACTTCGTATATGAGCGTTTAGATCTACTTTTTAAAACTGCATCTTTAAAGGAGCAAACACAGCTTGTTCTTAGAAACAATTCTTTAGAAATTGAGAATATTATCTGAAATAGGACTACAAAAGTTTGAAAAATACAAAATAGGACTATCACATTTTTATTCCTAAATTAGGACTAATTACTGTCATGTTTTGCCAGTACCAGGCTTCAAACATGAAAGTATTTTCCAAACTTGACAGTAATTACTCCTATTTTGGGAATAAAAAACAAGACAGTCCTATTTTAGAATTTTCAAAATGTTTTAGTCCTTTCCCTTAGAAATTGAAGGAGAATACTTTCTGAAAATGTGATTTCGATTCTACCCCTGCGTTTAAAAAAAGAAACAAAATCAATTCGCAATTAACACCCCTGTATGCTGTCATGAATGTAGTACGTACGGAGTAGTAATGTACAAATCGTATATAAATACCCTATAACGACGACCGATTACTGCTGCAATAATCCCACATAGTACACCTATAATTCCCAGTGCAAGAGCAATCACCCATAGACAATTAAAAACTTTCCATTTACTTGCCACCATTCCCACGAATTTGAAAGGAGTGCGTAGCGCTGACGATCGAGCTGTTAGTTATGAGAATTAGTTAACATTGGCTCTCTAATTATTTACTTGCTCAATTTGCTTTGCTACGGTGATGATGGTGCCGATGGCGGAGATCGAACGCTTGTTAAATACTAGGGACATTACCCTATGTCCTATGTAAGACTAAGGCCATGTGTAGAGGTAGGCCATATGTGATCACCTACGTCATAAAACCCCAATTCTTTTAAATTCTTCTAACCTTTTTTTATCCAAACTTTTCAAAAAATATATCAAAATTCATAAACTTTTAATATCTTTCATATGACACCAATATTACATGTATAAAGTGTAAAAAAAATAAAATTTTAATTGTTGGAGTTTTCTTGAGCCCAAAAAACTACAAAATACAAATTTTTAATACATGGTGCCTCCATAAATATTTTAGCATTACATGGAATCAATTAATTTTTTATTAAAATTGAAAAAAGTAAAAAATAAAAGTAACAATTTTTTAATGATTTTTTTCCCACATCGAAATGTGTACTTTTTATTTCTTAATTATTTAAGGAAAAAAATAAAAGGAAAACTGATAGAGTATAGATCTAAAGAGAATGAGAGCTAGAGAGAGAAAATGCTAGTAATTAATACTCCTTCCGTCCCATATTTATTTTCGGTTTTGACTGGGCACGGAGGTTAAGAAAGGGCACTGTTTTGGTTTGACTTTCCATTTCTGTCCTTGAGTATTTTACAGCCTAGAAAGGGGTAATAAACAGTACAGAGTAAAAGGTAGCAGCCTTTTTGGACTGCTACATACAAGACAAAGCAGCGGCCACTAAAAAAACATGGAGCAAATACTCTGCTCCACTAGTAGTGGCGGGAATTCAAAAAAAAAAATTCACTCCCTCCAAAAATTAAAAACAACACAGATTAGTGTCTATATATACGACCAAACCTTTCTCAAAATAGCTAAAGTACAAACAACAAGAAAACGGAAATGACAGAAATTGTTCAAAAAAAAAAAAAAGAGGATGTCCAGTGAAACAAGGCAAAGAGGCTCTCTAGTGAAACAAGGCAACGAATCATGCAACATCTTCTTATCAACCGTTCAGATGGTAAGCTCAACAGAGGAGTACTAACTACACTTGCAATAGAAAATGATGTTTCACAAAGGTGTATCTCATTCATTTGGAAGCAAGTAAAGAAATGTGAGATGGAAGGTTTACTTATAAATGTGGACATACAGATGGCTGGAAAGGTAGGTAGAAAAGCAAGGATTCTACCTATTGGTCATGTTAAGGGCATAGAGCTTGATAAAAGAAAGAATATCAGGAGTCTAGCTGCAGCCATGGGATATCCCAAAAGTATTGTGCACATACTCGTACAAAAAGGTGAATTAAAGGCACACACAAATGCTATCAAACCCTTTCTTACTGAGTCAAACATGATTAAGAGACTTGAATGGGTCATTTCACACATAGTCCCAGCATCACACTAGTGCAAAATAAGCATTCTATAACTAATGTTTAATATGGGTTGGTTTAGAACCGTTATAGTATATTGACGCGGGGTCTAATTCATAATTAATTTAAGTTTCATCATATTAGACGGGGCATATTTATAAATTAAAAAACATATCAATAACGGTTTTGAAACATAACCGTTATAGAAAGTAAAACGGGGTCATATTCATAAATCTTAAAAAGTTAGATTTGACACGGGGTATCATTTTTAATTAAAAAAATTTACTTTCCATGTCCGTTCGAATCCTAACCCTTATAGAAGATGTTTATTTTTTTTAACTCCTACATCGAGGCTAAGGGTTCTTAAAACATATACTTGTACTTCATCAAAAAAACATAGGGTTTTGAAACAAAGACAAAGAGCAAGGAAGTCTCCCAAGTCCATTCGAATCCTAACCCTCGTCGACTGATGTAAGGTTTCACGCAGCAAGGAAGTCTCCCAAGTCCACGCAGCTCCCCCGTTTTCACATCTCCGCCATTATCACAACTCTGCCGTTTTTTTATTTGGGCCTTTCATCTTCTTCGCTCGGCGCTCGGGACTCGTTGTTCCAACAGGTAATTATCTTATCTTACATACTCTATATTTATTCAGTTTTTCAATTCCTAATAGAATCATGTCTATGTTTCTCTGAGATTTGTGTAATAGCATTTCATTTTTGTGAATATCCTAATAAATTATTTTGCGTGTGTTTGGCGTGTTTGATTTCTGTTTTTGGACGCCTCTTGTTTGGCGTTTTTGTTTTTGGAAGCTTTGGGTCTTGTTTTGGGATGTTGTGGGTCTGGTTTTGTTGGCTTTTTTTGGACGTAGCAGTGGACTAGAAAGGACATGTCCCCTTGTTTTCCCTTTTCTAGTTTTAGCAAGTTATGCATTGTTTCCAATTGCCTGCTTTGGATCATTATGTGTTTTCAGGAGTGTCCCACTGAGTTAACATATTACTAACACCTGAAGCTTGAATAATTTTATTTCTATGGTTTTAGTTTTCTAATGACTATTAACTGTTTGCAAAAATGTCTCAATGAAAATTTGAAACTAATTTTTATTCTCAAGATTAGTGTGTTATTTAAAAGAAGGGAGAATGTGCATATTGACCATTAAGGTCTAGACCAAAGAGCACATTGAACATGGAAGTTATTTTTGGAGCAAAAATAAAACCTTTTTGGGGCATATTATTTTTGGGGCCCTCAAATGGTCATATTGACCTTTTGGCAACTTACGGAAGTACTCCATCTTATACTTACATCAGGTTATCTAATTTAAAAAAAAAAATCTAATTTGCTAGTTTATTGAATCAATATGAAATTGACTTTAATTTAAAAAGAAAATTATACAAACTTTAAGGTTTTTCAATTTTTTTTCCATTTTCTTTCTTTCATGTTTTCTTAATGATTTTTTATGGAATAGTTTTTATAATTTACATATTTTATCATTTCCATATACATATATAAACCATCAAGTATGTAAACTTGAGAAGAAAGGAAAAAGGGTCATAAAGGATTCATAATAATAAATTTGTGATACTTTAATGATATGAAAATAATATTATGATGTCCAACATTTATTTAAAAAGATAATTGAAAAACATGAAATAAACAAATTGAAAATAAACAAAATAGAAAAACCTTGAAGTCTATAAAATGAATTTCATATTGATATAAGGAGTATTAAACTAGAAAATTAGTTGAAGAAGTTGATGCATATATAAAGACGGAGTACATCCGTGAGTTAGTGGGAAATATGCCCTCAAAAGGTTTAATATTGTTTTTTTTTGCTCCAAAAATAACTTTAATGTCCAATGTGCTCCTTGATCTAGACCTTAGCGGTCAATTTGCACCTTCTCTCATTAAGAGAATAAAACACATGAGAATAAAAAATCTATCCAAATTTGATAATAGATCTAATTCATGCATACTCACATAATGCTTTAAAATCTATACCGTATTAGGTTATGTGGTTTTTGTTAAAAAATTATTTACTTGAATGTTTCAATGCACATGTTACAGAAATTAAGAAAGTTATGGATCGTAGTTGGATCAATTGTAGACGAACAAGTGATGAGTATGAAAATGGGGTTGAATCTTTTTTGCAATTCGCAAAAACAAATCTGCCCAGCAGTAGTGAAAAGTTTCATTGTCCTTGTGTTAACTGCTTGAATGAGATACGACTAGACACTGAATTAATACGAGAGCATCTCCTGTGCGATGGATTTATTAAAAGCTATACAATATGGATATGGGTGAGCGGTACAATATGCCCACTACATCATCTAATACGGAAGACTTTGCTAGAGCAGAAATGGGTGATCATTTGGAGGACATGATACGTGACGTTGGAGAAGAGGCTTTTAAGCGATCGCATATTTATGAAACACTATGCGGTGACGCAGAGAAACATTTGTATCCTGGGTGCACCAAATACACACGACTTTCAGCCGTGTTAAAATTGTTTAATTTGAAAGCAAAGAATGGGTGGAGTGATAAGAGCTTCACCGAATTGCTTGTGTTGTTAAAAGATATGCTTCCCAGTGGTAATACATTACCAAACCGCAACTATGAGGCAAAGAAGGTAATTTGTCCTTTGGGTATGGAGTATAAGAAGATACATGCATGTCCAAATGATTGTGTACTGTACAGAAAGGAGTTTGAGAACTTGAATGAGTGTCCGAGATGTGGGATATCACGCTATAAAGGTATTCTTATTTAAAATAAGAAACCTGGAAAAATTGGTTCTAAACGGCAGCTCTTTTCCTTCTATTTTTATACATTCTCAATTAAATGAGTAAAGTATGCTAAAAAGTATGTTGTGATATATTTAGGTACACAACCTGGGCGCTACTATACACCATCAAAAAATAGCTTCAGAAAATGTTAGGGTGGAGGTGGTAGAGGTTATAGATTCACTTGCATTGGTTCCTATTGCCACAGATGAAGTTAAAACTGTGGGAAAGGCTCCCAAACAATTTATTCAATGGCCAAGGCGATTAATTAATCCCAAAAAGAAGGCCAAACGAGCATACCAAAAGGTGATAAAATGACACTATTTTCACTCTTCTTTACATGAAATCCGCATTATGCAATCTTTTTCAAACTCTATGAAAACACGTAATGTATTGCTTTTTTAACCTTACTTATCTAGTGCATTTAAGCATTTTGTTGTGTAGGATGATGACAATGACCAGACAGATGTTCCCAATGAGCACAAGGATCCAATATCGCGCTTACTGGAAATGAGAAAACACCTTGCTGGACAGCCTCTGCAGTTTATTCTTAAAGGAGATGTCATTGGTGCTGCAGATATCTCCCTTTTTCTTAGTTCAAAGGAGATAATGGAGATGTGCTCGGGTGATCAAATGCTTAGTACAAAGGTTATGCAAGTCTGGATAATGTGAGTTGAGATTTATTATCTTTTAAATGTCAGGGTTTGCTTTTATTTGTACCCTTTTCTTGGATTAGAAAGGAAAAACTAATCACTCAAACTTCAAGGTAATTCTTTTTCCCTTTCGGTATTGATAAATCTATAGGGCTTTTTACAGTATGAAAAATCTGGAAACAAAAAATTGGATAAATCAATAGTTTCTTTCCGTTTTGGTATTAGAATATGAAAATACAAAAAACTGGAAAGAAGGAAATAGAAACAAACAGTATAGAAACAAACAGTATAATGACCAATTGGAAAGTAGATCCCTGCAGTTCACTGGTTCTATGTAATCTTATGGGGTCATCACTTTTAAACTCCTTGTTATTCTTAAATTACATGCAGGTACTTGCACAAATTGTGTACTAGAAAGAACAACACACACTTGTATGGATTCTTTGACCCTCACGCCATTCAAGATGTGGGAAACAAGCGTGATGAAATCCAAACCTACATATTAACTCACCTCAAGGACAACAAGGACTGCTATCTAGTTCCATATTACTATCCGTAAGTACAAGCATATGATTAAACTTAAGTAATATCTAAATATTCATCACACATTGTTTCAATTTCAGTAACCACTGGCAGCTATTCATATTCTGTCCTAAGCAAAACATGATTGTGTTCTTGTGCTCCTTGGGGAATAAGCCAAAGACAAATGTGAAGAGTGTTTTTGATATGTAAGGATATAATTTTGTTGTATCAAATGTGTACTTTTGTTTAAGGCAAATCTTGATTTTATAGCATGACTTATTTCTTGTTTTTTATCTAGGGCAATGCAGGCACATCAAATTACAAAAAATAGGAGGAATTCCAAACCAAGATGGATTAAGCCAATTGTAAGCATATTTTTTTCATACTTATCATCAATGGTATAAGTTTTTATAATTTTATGCACTTGGGGTTGTTTCTGAATCATTTTAAGAAGCATATTATAATCATCATGTCATGTGTAGATCGTGAATCATATTAATAATCAGATTTTGAGTATGGAGATGGCTATTTCATTTTATATACGGTTGTTAATGGCAGATTGTTAGCTGCAAAATATAATGAGCATGCAGATTGGAGATAGTAATTTCATTAAGAACCAGATTTTGAGATTAGAGATAGTTATTTCATTTTATATACGGTTGTTAATGGCATATTTGGAGCTGCAAAATATTATGAGCAAGAGTAATGTAAACAGAGTAATGGTAGGTTAGTAGTGAATACATGTTAAAATATATCATTTCTCTTTGCAGGTACAATTACCTTTTCTGGATATTTTTTTGTTTTGTTTGTATGGTTTGTTTATAGGTTATGTGTAAATAGCTAGCAGTGGTTTTCAGGTGTTTTGTTTAGTTTTCTTTCCCTCTTGAAACTGGCCAGTTAGTTTTGTATAATGTATTCTTTTTCTGCAGTCAGTTGTACCAGTGTGTGTATATGAGGGATTAATTGGGTCATACTGGTTAAATACATTGACTAGATTATACCGGTTGTGCAGTAAATACCAATTTGGTATATTGTTATTTATATTGACTAGATTTATCAAAAACTGTGTGATTACATTAAATTGTGTGACTTTTTTTTATGCTACAATATAATATTCACATGTACATCTGTTTTCAGTGTAGAATGCAAAGGAGAAGCTATGAGTCTGGGTATTATGTTATGAGGCATATGGAGACTATAATATCTGCAGTTATTGTTGATTCATGGATTGAGGTGATGAATTTTTAGAGTTCTGCATTCATTAAATTTATACTCATTACTTCTATTATATTTTTTATGACAAAGTTTTACTTCTAGTTTAATATTAATATTTTATTGAATGTGTTTCTATTTTTATTTTGATTTGCAGACATTCAGTGGTCAAGAGTCATTTAGTCCACTAGACATTATCGAGACAAGAGAGCGTTGGGCGTCATTTGTTTGTGACACCACAAGCAGTTGCAATTAAAAAATATGGTTTTGTTTTGAAGTCTAGAATGAAGTGTTGGTTTTACTTGAAACTTTGTACTTTTGACTTGCTAGAACTTATTGAAACTTTGTGTTTTTGCTTGGAGGAACTTGTAAAACTTTGTGGTTTTGGCTTTTGGATTGATTGGTGCTACTTGCTATGTGGAACACTGTAATTTTGTTACAATTATCAATATATTTGGCATAATTCTCAGTTAATGATTTCATTATGTTCTGTAAAAAAAATGATTTCATTTTATGTTGATATAGTATATAAAAAAAATTATATTATGCATAATCTACGAAATATATGGTTTAATTTCCAAAAACATTCTAAAACGGTTGATGATTTAACCCATATAAAAAGGATTTTATATGGGGTATTCTTGGACTGACACGAAAAACATTCAATAACGGTTAAGTTAGTGACCGTTATAAAACACATTTTATAAGGGGTACGAATACCCGACATGAAAAGTGCTCGACTTTCTATATCGCCGGCTTCTATGTCGTTACCGGAACCGACATAAAAAGTGTTTTTTAACCCATATAGAAAGTGTTTTCTACACTAGTGTCAATGTTAACACAACCATTGTTTCAGCCCATGTTAAACTATGTGCATTTAGATGAAAAATGGTTTTATATGACCAAAACCTCACACGTGTACTATCTGCTTCCAGGGGAAGAGGAGCCTCACAGGATTTGCAAGTCTAAGAGGTTCATCACCAAAGTGGTGTTCTTCTGTGCTGTTGCTAGGTCCAGGTTTTGAGAAGACTCACAAATCTTATTTGACAGAAAAATTAGTATTTTCCCCTTCACATCATTTGAGCTAGAAAAAAGAAACAACAAAAACAGAATTGCAGGGGCAATTGAAGAAAAGGCAATTGACAATGTAACAAAAGAAATTTACAGACAATGCCTAATCAGTAAAGGTCTGCTTGCCATCAAGGCCAAATGTCCAATTGATGCATCTGGGGACATATATATACAACAAGATAATGCCAAACCACATATAAGTCCTAATGACAGTGAGTTCATGAAGCTAAGGAGGCTACTGGTGTGAGATTTAACATCAAACTAGCATGTCAACCGCCTAATAGTCCTAATGTAAATGTGCTAGACCTAGGGTTTTTTTAGAGCAATTCAGTCCTTACAACAAACAACATCAAATTCAACAGTTTCAGAATTGGTGGCAGGGGTGAGGAAAGCATTTGAGGACTTTGAACACGGTATGAGTATCACTACAACTGTGTATGAATGAAATATTGAATGCTAAGGGTGGGAACAACTACAAATTACCCCATATTGGTAAGGACAGATTACAAGGGATGGGGGAACTATCTATTTCAGTGAATGCACACACAACAATAGTGAAAGAGGTGATGCAATTGTTGGAGGGTGTTAATGCTCAGGAGTAGGTTGCAAGTAGATGGTTTTTGGGTTTTTGGGTTTTTGTATAAAAGCATACAAGGTACTAGTGTTTTTGGCTTTTTGGGTACAAGCAGATGGATTTTTGGGTACAAGCAGACAAGGTACTAGTGTTTTTGGGTTTTTGGTTTTTTGTATGCACTAGCTACAAACAGACAGTTTTTTTGGATTTTTGTCTTTTTGGGTTTGGGGTACACATATAGATAATGTACACAAACAACACTGTCATAAGTTATGAAGGCATCTTGTCTTATCTTTTGAATATACAAGCAGACTTTCATAATTAAGGCAATCAAGGATTCTCAGATTTTATAATGTATCATCACAGAATCCACAAAGGACTGCCTTAAGCCTCCATAGGATTAACCTTGTGGCTTAATTAAGGCAGTCATCAGTTAGGCAACTAGGGCACACACATAGGCATGAACAAACAGGATTCTCAGAATTAATAATGCATCATACAATCCATACAGGGCTGCTTTAAGCCTCCATAGGATTATCCTGGTTGCTTAAAGCAGTCATCAGTTAGGCAAATAGGGCACACACATAGGCATGAACAAACAGGATTCTCAGAATTGATAATGCATCATAGAATCCATGCAGGGTTACCTTAAGCCTCCATAGGATTATCCTGGTTGCTTAAGGCAATCATCATTTAGGCAACTATGGCACACACATAGGCATGAACAAACAGGATTCTCTGAATTGATAATGCATCATAGAATCCATACAGGGCTGCCTTATGCCTCCATAGGATTATCCTGGTTGTTTAAGGCAGACATCAGTTAGGAAACTAGGGCACAAGCATAGGCATCAACACACATGGTTCTCAGAAATCATAATGCATCACAGAATCCACACAGGGCTGCCTTAAGCCTCCATAGGATTAACCTTGTGGCTTAAGGCAGTCAGCATTTCCGCAAATAGGGAAAACACATAGGCAACAACATATACATTCTCAAAGTTTAAATTTCATCACAAAATAACAACACGGACTACCTTAGGCCATCACAGGACACATATATCAACATTTGTGCAAATGAAAACATGCACCGACAGAAGAAGATGAAAAGATTAGTAAGTAGGGATGTACGACCTTCATTTTTTGTAAAGAGGTAGCCATATTTGAATCATTTCATCAAGACGCTGTTGATTTTTTGGGTCTGGATGCGGAGGAACATACGCTGGTGGAAAATACTCCCCTGTCGTTGTATCTACTAGACGAAGGTAAATGGCGGCCATGCTCTCAATGGAGGATGGAATCCTAGTTTCTATAGTGTTCGGTTGCAACCCCTCTTGTAATCCTTGAACTTTCCGCCCAACATCACTCCAAACTCCTTGATCTTCACTGTCTTCAACTCTTATCAATGTCAGATCATCTTTGGAATCAGGGACGATGTCGGGCCAACAGGAGGCATCGTCTGAGTCTTTAACCACCACATCGCCATGCATGACCAAGATTGAGGTTTTTTCCGCCATTAATGGATCTACAATTTCAAATCTGGTGTCAGTGGAGAAGACTTCATACAAGTTGCACAAATATGAAGATGGCTACTAGGGGAGATGGACTTAGAGGCGAGAAGATGAAAGTTCAGGTAAAGGAGAGAGAGGAGCGTCTGTAATCACACGAGAAAGAGAGAAAGTTCAAGAACAGACCAGAGAGGAATACAACAAGGCATGAGAGAGAGGAGCGTATAATGTGGGGATATGTAAGGTTGGGTGGGTGGTTTCCAATTAGAATAACTAGGAGTAATAAATGTGGGTAGATATATAAGGGTATTAGGGTAAATGGATAGGGAAAAACTTGTTAAAATAGGAAATAAGGAGATAAATTTGGGATGGACCGAAATGGAAAGAATAAAGATAATTTTGGGACGGAGGGAGTATTTCTCAACCCCTTACAACTACCCCATACGAGAGTATTTATAGAGGAAATATGGATTGGACTCCCAGGACTTAGGCCTAGGAGGCCCAGTACAAAATAAGGCCTCTAATGGGCTGATTACATGACATTCCGAAGCTAAGTATAAAATCTACTCTGCTGGAGCTAACTTAGCCAAAGAGGGGACTGACCGATGGAGGGCCTAACCAATGGAGGACTTGTCCTCTGTTCCTGGGCTTCCGGGCTATATTCTAGGATGATAGAGTTTGGCCAATGGAGGGCCATCTAAGCGTTGTGGTCCTTGTGCTTGCCTTCTATGTATGTGGGAGCTAGTGTCTCGGCCCATATACTCTATCAGGAGTTCCCCACTCTCTGAGCTAAGATGTGATGAAGTGAAAGGGAGTAGAATAATACTCACGTTTTGACCTTAGCCGAGGCTGAGCCATATGTTTGTAGACGTTGTGTAGCTGTTTTACCTCATGTTTGGCCGTGGTGCGGTTCCTAGAGCTATCTGATGGATGAAGTGTGACTTTTAATATGTCCTTTTGAATTTTTTATCTGTAGGCCGATGCGAAGCATGCGTTGAGGCCGATGTGTTGTTGCCTTTTTGCAATTTCTATTATTTTAGTTTTTTTCAGTCTGGGAGGCCGATGTAGTCCCCTAGTCCCCCAATCCTTCAGGCCGAAGAGTGTGCTGGGTGTGAAGGAGTAAGGAAGTGTCCTAGGCCGAGGCGGGACCCTCGAATTCATCATGAATCCAACTTCCTGGCAATCCTTGACCAAGGTAACCCTGTGGGAGAACCCTTGGACGAAAGTCGTGGGCTAGAGGTTATCATCGATGGGTTTTGTATGAGGGATCGTGAGCTTGGATTTCACCTTACCTTGCTTTCTGACGAAGTGGCGCCATGTAATGTTTTGGCCGCTAGGCATTTGGCTCATGTTTTGTCCATCGCATGCCCCTAAGTTGTAGCCATTTTGGCCGACAGGGGCATGGCTTGTTTGATGGCGGGATGGCTGGATTTTGATTGGCCACGTTGGAGGTGACCGTCAGTATGGCCACTAGAGGAGCGCCACATGTAGTGACCATTGGGAGGAGTTGCTATAAGTACCGCTTTTCTGAAGCATTCTCCCCACCTTACCTTTGTGAAGTAACGAAGTGCTGCCAGTTTTTCTAGAGAGATAAAGTGTTCTTTGAGTTCTTCAGATCTTCAAGGTCAGGTTCTTGTTCGTTCTTCAATTTTTACTTATACTTTGCTTTGTTAGGAGGTAGATCTAGTGTTCGTAAAGGAACTCCTTCAATCCGAAAACTTCTCCTTAGGATTTGTTTTTTAGGTATGCCACTCCCTGATCACCGTAGCATTCCCCGTCCCCTTGATTTGCCATTTTCTTTAGACGAGGAATACTTCCCCTTCGACGACGAGACGTCACCTAAGCCAAAGATCACCCTGAGGTTAGTGGAAAAGTTCGATGCTGAGATGGAGAACACCAGCGAGTATTGAACTGAGGATGATGAGGAGCGGTTGAGAGACGACGCTGGTCCAGCATTGTCCGGTGAGGCCGAAGGAGACCCGAGAAGCGCTCGAGAAGAGGATGGTGCCTCTACATCGACGGCCATTCCATGCCCCCCTCCCATTTCGCCTGTCAAGGTGCAGGTTCTTTGGCGACTAAGAGGAGAGGTCGTAGATCTCATCCACGACAAGGTTTAGCTTCAGGGCTCTCTAAATTGGACCTCATCAATTTGTATATTATCCATCCGGAGAGTTCAGTGAGCAAGTGGCACGTGCGCAGATGTATGTTGGCCCATATGGTAGGGTTAGGTCGCCCAAGCTGACGGACCACATTCTTTGACGGCACTTGGGGTATTTTGTGATATACCCCATGAGTTTTGCCAGGGGGTTGCGCTTT